CTGTCCTTACTAAAAAAAAGTTATCTGGGCATGGTGGCATGTTTCTATAGTCCTAGCTACCCAGGAGGCTGAAGCGGGAGGATTGCTTGAGCCCAGGAGTTGAGGCTACAGTGAGCTCTGACTGCATCACTGCACTACAGCTGGGCAACAGAGCAAGACCCTGTCTCCAAAAAAAAAAAAAAGCCCACCACACATTCTCACATGCACATAGCCAGACGTGTGCACATATGTGCATAGACCCAAACATATGTGCACACACATGCACAGCCAGACACGTGCACACATGTGCATATACCCAAACATATGTGCACACACATGCACAGCCAGACACATGTGCACATACCCAAACACATATGCACACACATGCACACACCCACATATATACACATACACATGCCTTTCCCTTTTCTCATTCTTCCAAAATAGTTATATCAAAACTTTGTTTGAATCAGCACTCACCATAGACTTACAGTGTGCGTAACTAAAATTTCAGTCATTGTACATCTTATTCTTCCTGTACCTGTCAATAATATATCCCCATATTCTGATAGAACTTGTGAACTCCTTTCAATGTCATTGAACACATCAGATAATTAAATCTGTTACCCTGTTTTCTTCTTGGAGACCTCCTTCCTAGAGCCTTCTGTCCCTGCTCCAGTGTGGATCGCCTAGCTGTTCTCACCACCACCTTGTGAGTTCCCTCTCCTTCTCTCCTCTGTTGGATCCCCCATCCTGGCCCCCTGGCTTCACAAGTGTTAATTTACACCACTCCCCAGTAGTTTCTTGAGAAAGGGAACTTGGGAGATAAATTGTTTTGAGATTTTGCATTTCAGAAAATGGTTTCACTCTACTCTCAGTTTGATTATTATTTTGGTTGAGTATTCTAGGTAGGAAATAATTCTCCCTCAAAATTTTCCAGGCATTATTTCGTTATTTCCTAGTGTCCAGTATTGCTTTTGAGAAATCCAAAGTCTTCCTGATTATTTTAAGCCCTTGAATGTGACCTGTTGTTTCTGTTTATCTCCAGGGTTCTGAAATTTCATGGATGTGCCTCCATGTGTATCCTTTTCATTTGTTGTGCCGGGCTCTTGATGGGTCCTTTAAATCTGGAAATCTGTGGTTTTCAGCTCTGAAAAATATTCTTCGGGAATATCATTTTCTCCTTTTTCTTTTTTTATTCTTCTAGAACTCCTGGGCTTCATGGATTGATCTTCCAGTTGCCTTTTTCCCCCCACGAACCCCCAAAGAGTTTATTTTCTAATAGAATAAAGATATTAAAAGGAAACATTAACCTTTTCTCTTTGTGGGTATTCGCTGTCTGATTAGTCCTTTCCTAGGTAACGTCTCAGTTGTCCTACTTTAAGACGAAAAAAAGAGAATGGTTAAATATGTAAATAGGAGCCACATTAATGAAATGTTTCAGAGTAGCCTTCAGCATGGCCAAGAGTAGTTATTTTTCTCTCATTTTGGAAATAATATGGTAGGAAAATGACATTGAAAACTACTGAAAAAACTTCAGCTTCATACTGTAGTTGTCCTGTTATGCAATAACAAAATCATTTCAATTTTCTTCTCTTTTCCATTCTTTGTATCTTGATCTTCAACTTTGCCTTGTAGCCCTTCTACTAAAGTTTACATTTCTGTTATTGTTTAAACAGTTTTTAAGAATTCCGTCTCTTTTTCTCCACGTTTAAGGTTCTTGTTTTGTGGATACATTATCCCTCTGAAGATATGAACTGTGGGAGATGTGTTTCCTTTGTGGTTTTTGTTTGCTCTCTTTTGTCTCTTTGTTTCTTTTAGTGTCTTACATTTTATGTTTAAGGATTTTCTCAAAAGCCTCGTGATGCTGATGATCTTCGGATGTCTGCTTATTTTTAAGTCAGCATAGAAAGTTGCTGATTGGCTGGGTGTGGTGGCTCACGCCTGTAATCCCAACACTTTGGGAGGCTGAGGCAGGTGGATCACCTGAGTCAGGAGATTCGAGACCAGCCTGGCCAACATGATGCAACCCCGTCTCTGCTAAAAGTACAAAAATTAGCCAGGCGAGGTGGCGGGCGCCTATAATCCCAGCTACTCGGAGGCTGAGGCAGGAGAATCGCTTGAACCTGGAAGGCGAAGGTTGCAGTGAGCTGAGATCGTGCTATTGCACTCCAGCCTGGGAAACAAGAGCGAAACTGTCTCAAAAATAAATAAATAAATAAATAAATAAATAAATAATAAAATAATAAAAGAAAGCTGCTGGTTGACTGCTGGACCTCACAGAAGGTGATTAGATATGGATCTGTTATACTGAGTACCCCCAATTTTCAATATCTGTCCGTCCTTAAGCATGACTGTACTTTAGGGGAGCCAATGGGAGAAAAGAAATGAGAGAAGGGACATTGCATCATTTGAGTCAATTTCCCTGTTTTCACCCCTGCATCTCATACCTGTGGCCAGCTATGTCCAAGGGTCCAGATTCTCTTTGGTTTAATTTGTCCTGAGTAAACTTCCAGACTTCTGCAGAGAAGGGGAAGGGGCAGCTCGGGAAGGGAGAGAGAGTCCTCCCATTCTTCAGCCCTACTTTTCACCTTGTTGCCTGGAATTCCTAAGCCTTCTCTGGGTTCTGTACGTTTGAATTGGTTTGCTTCTCAGGATGCCTCACCAAATTCAGGACTGGGCTTTAGTTCTGACTCTTTCGAGGTCTAGCCCTACTTCTCCTCTGCTTTGAATATGCTAACTTTTGTTGGCATATCTTGTCTGCTGTGATTTTCTCTCCTGTCTCTTTGTCTTTGGGTGCTTATACCTGCACATTCCTTCATTGTCCTTTTAGTGAGGTTTTGAAGGGACTAGAGACAATGCATGTTCTCCATCTGTCCCATTTCACCAGAAGCCTCCTCTCCTTCCTTTGTCCCTGCCTTTAATAGTTGCTTATCTTCCTTGAAGCTTCTGCCCTGCACTTATTCTAGTTGAACTTCAACTCAACCTAAAAATTCTCATTCTACCCGAGTCCTCTAAAGGACACAGATTTACCAGTACCATGGGAGAAGAATAGCTCAGGTCAATGTCCCAGCCATCTAGAGCATGTTGATAGCTCACCGTTGCCACTTCAAACTGACCTGGGTCAGTTGGCTTCATCTGGTCAAGCCTGTGGGTGTTTCTGGGATCAGAAGGGCCAGTGGAAGTTAGGTACTGGTGCTGGGATTCGAACTGACATGGAGCTGTGTTTGAGGTTGATTTGGTGAAACACACCCACATCTGGTCACCTCCCATGAAGCCCACCAGGCAACCAGTTGTATCTCCATGTACAGAATTTCCAAGCAACCTTTTGTGCCTCACTCTTAAAGATAAGCAGCTATCAAAGGTCCTATTGAAAGAGTGTCCGCCTGGCCTCCTGCCTGCATATCTTCCCTCCAGTTTTATCCCAATCATTTCTGTCTGATTGACAGGCATTAACTTTACTATATCAGTCTCTAGCTCTGCAGCTCCAGGGAGTGACTGTCACCTATACAATGTCTGATTTTCACCCTTGGGTTTGTTTTTTTTACTCTATCACTATGTCATCTTGTAAACCATTTACTCTTAGGCAAATGAACTTCTTTCTTTTTCTAAAGTTTGTCTGTTTCCTTGGAGTTTTCTTGCCTTTGCATTCTCCTGTCCTTTCCGCAAATGCTGGTCTTAGGTTTTTTCCAAAAGTATCCTACTCAACCCTCCTGGCCTGCTTCCAGTGCCAGCCCCATTGACAACACAAGTTCTCACTGATTTCTCCCCACTTTTAAGTTGTAGTACTTATGGACAATAGTGCTTTTTTTGTCACTTGTCATTTATAATCTGAAGTTCTTTTCCTGTGAATGCCCAGATTTAACTAGAAATTAATGATCATGCACTGAATATACTGTGTCTCTCTTACTCTCCATAACAAACAATCAATTTTTCTAAGTGCCCATTTTACAGATGAGAACACCAAGTCCCGGCGATTAAATCACTTTGCACAGGGTTGCGCCTGCTCTTTACAGACTAGTACAGCCAGGCTTTTCTGCATTAAGGTGAAGGCTGTGGTTTGGCCATCATCACTGCCCTGATGGGCACTGCTTCAGATTCTGTAGTTGAAGAGCATCACACACCAGCCTTAAGAGAAACTGGTCCAGGCCTTGGAATGCAGGCGGTGGATGTGATGTGTTAGGGCATGGAAGAAATCCCACAGGCAGTTTGCAGACTTGAATAACTGCAGCAGGGGTCTAGCAAAGAGACCATGGACAGAGAGCGAGCGGTCAGGGCCAGGCCAGGGAAAGAAGGACCATCCCAAGGAAGCCTTTTGTAGGTGTTGTTTCCATGTGGCGTTTGGGAGGATTGAAGCTTTAGTGTTTGACCCTGAACTAGGCTCTTCTCTTTCTGGGTCTTTAGTTCTCCACTGGTCAAATGCAAGATTCCAGCGGGTCAAAGAGCTCCGGATGTGCCTCTATGACAGGCCTGGTCTGGCCCGAACCTTCCTCACCCGGCAGGTGTGGCTTTGCAGTCAGGGCCTGTCTGTAAGATAGGGCCCTGCCATGGTATCTAGAGAGTCCCCACACTGTTTGGTTGTGGCCACAATTGAATAACAAAAAGAACCACAAATTTTAATACTGTTGCAATGCCTCCTCATTCTTCTTTAGTGGTGTGTACTTACTGTTCTGACGTGAAATGCATCATTAGATAGGGAGTGGTATTCATTTTTCCTTTCACTATTTATTTACAGACATTAAAACTTTGATGTTTGTTTAGGGCTATAAAATAAAGTTTTAATTTTGTGAGTGTGAAAACTTTACTGGGCGGGCATGGTGTCTCATGCCTGTGGTCCCAGTACTTTGGGAGCTCTCTTGAGCCCAGGAGTTCGAGGCCAGCCTGGGCAACATGGCAAAACCCCGTCTCTACAAAGAATGTGAAAATTAGCTGGGCGTGGTGGCATGTTCCTGTAGTGCCAGCCACTTGGGGAGGCTGAGGTGGGAGGATAAGAGGTTGCAGAACCGAGATCATGCCACTGTACTCACTCCAGCCTGGGCAACAAAGTGAGATCCTGTCTCAAAAAACAAACAAACAAAAACCCTGCTTTTCTATGCCATGTTGTTTTTTGCTTCTCTCTTTCTCCATCTTTCTCTTCCCCATTCTATTTCTTTTCTTTCTTTTTTTTTCAGCAAGCGTTTCTGCAGGCTATGTATCTCTAGATTCAAATGTATCATTTATAAAATGGGCTTCATCATACCTCTTCCGTGGGCTACCATGTGTGTGAAGGAGGGAGCGTGCCCAGTGTCTTGCACGCAGTGGCTGGACAATGGATATTACTTTTCCTTCTTTGTTTTTATTGCCCCATCTATATCAGTCCTACACGTCCCTCCGCTGCTGGGGTCTCCTGGGTGCCAGTCAGCTGTGAGGTCAGCTGAACAGGACCTTGGGCAGGGAGGGTCTGGATGCCCCAATGTGTTCTTTCTGTCAGGGGACACGATTCTGCAGGGGCTGCATGTAAAATGAGTCCGACTTAAAACTTCTTCCTGTGTGCCTTAAGCTTTGTAGACAAAGATGCTATGGAAATAGAGGTCATTTGGGATGTTATTAGTTGGCGGCAGCTTTAAACATACCACCCTGAGTTGAGAATAATGCAGGTGTCCCCAAATGTGGCTGGCAACCCCTCAGTCACATATTAAAGTCTGCAACAGATCAAGAAAAAAGGCAGACGAGAGGACCCTGCAGCCTCTTCCGCTCTCTTGTTAGGTTACTCCAGCTGCTGACCTCTCTCTTTCAGGAGCACTTTCTTTTTGTTGGGGCTAATTCCTGAAGCAATCCTCCCACAGCTCATTTCCCCAGGCTATAAGCAGAGGCTGACCAAGGGGCCCTGTGGCCAGAAGTTATTGCCACAAGCAGGAAGTGGTTAATGCCTTCCATTTACTTTTAGTTGGAAGAGGAAAGGCTGAATCTTCCTTACAATAGGGGCAGGAAATCAACGTGACTATACCAGTTATTATACCTTCGGGAGGGAAAGCAGAGCTCTTTCAGGGCACCAAGGATGACATCTTGAAGCTACTCTGCCACCAACAGAACAAGGACGAGGGGAATTTATTACACATGGCTTGAGTGAGAGTGAATGGGAGATCTCTGCTGGCTGGTGAAGCCAGTCGCAACACGGGCGTGTGTGCAGTCATTGTAGATGAAGGCAGGAAACTGCCATTCTGTGGTCATTTCAGTGCAGGCATCTGGTGCCATTTTGTAAGTCAAATGCTACTTTAAAGATGAACAGGAGAGTAGACAGGAGACATACAAGGATATAGAACAGTTTGAATAATCTGATCGATTTCCTTTCATCCCTTGTAGAGTTTACGAATGTCTTTTCTCATATCTGGAAAACTCCAGCAGGTATATGGCAACAAGAAACCCTTAACAAGTTTCAAAAGTAGAGTTTCTAAAGACCACAGTCTTGATTATAATCTATTAAAAACTGGAAGTAAATAATATGAAGCTGAACTCACCCCCCCATTGCCATCTTGACTGTTTAAAAATTAAACACACACTCCTGTATAATTAACGGATCAAAGAGGGAATCAGAGGGAAATGATAAACTGTCTAGAAAGAAAAGAAAAGGAGAACACTTCACACTAAACCTTGTACCATAGCAAAGGAGGTGCCCAGAGGATAACATGTAGCCTTAAATGTCTTCATTGTTAATGAAGATGAAAAATAAAGATGACAATAAAGTAACTATTTTGAAAAGTTTGAAAAAAGTACAAGTTAAACCAAAAGGAAGTAGAACGGAAATATAACAAATAGCTAAATGTAATGAAATAGAAAATAAATGGAAAACATTAAGGACATATACACATTTAAATGCCTGTTCTTGGGAAGGACTGAAAATAGAAATTTAACCGTATGTATAATCAGGGAGAAATGTCAGAACAAATATCAGCATTTTCACTCAAGGGAAGCGGCCATTAAAATTATTCTAAAAACATTTGCAAGAAGGTTGAGCAAAATGCTTATGTCAAGGAAAAAAACCAATAAAAATGTGTATTATAGTATGATTATAATTATGTGAATACAATCTCCCGTCCCTTCCCACCCGCAAGTTGTGCAAATATTTAAGTCTAAAACAATACATCAAAATACATGAGTGGGAATGAAGTACTGATTCATGCTAAACAGATGAATCTTGGAGACGTTGTGCTAACGTTAGATAGAAGCCAGTCACAAAAGACCTCGTACTGAATGATTGCATTTATACAAAGTGTCCAGAATGAGCAAATCTATAGAGACAGAAAATAAATTAATCATTGCCTCCAGCTGGAGAGGTTGGAGGGTTTCAGAGTGACGGGTCTGGGGTTTCCTTTTGGGGTGATGAAAGCGTTCAGAAATTGATCGTATGATAGTTGCAAAACACTGTGAATAGACGAAAAACCATTGAGTTGTCTAAGTGGTAAGGTATGTGAATTGTATCTCAAGCTGCTGCAGAAAAAAATCACAGTGATTCTCTGTGATTTTTGCGGGGATAGAAAATAAATCTCTTGGGGGATGGAAATGTCAGTGATTTTCCTCGTTTTCCCACTCCTCTGTGATTTCCGCATTTTCCAGGTTTAATTCTGTATTACTTGAATCATGGACACATTTAGTAGATTAAAAAACATTTTAAAGGAAGAATGAGAATAATCAGCCTTTTACCAGCAAAGACAATGATGGGAGACCTGCTAGCCTATCTTTCGGGAAGGGTGGGGGAGGCTGGCTCCTCTAATCCTCAAATCTGGGAATGGTTGTGGTGGATTGCTCAGTTGCCATCACTTACAGGAGTGTCAGAGGGCCCATTCGTCTGCAGGTCATGGAAAATGAAACGTCATTCGTCTGGGAACTCTCGGGGCAGGACCACATCTCTGGGAAAAGTGAGAGTCCTGTGAAATCTGGGGATGGCAAAGAGGCACCTCTAGTGAAATATTCTAAGAGGTGTCAGGCTCTGCTGAGTGCTAAATTAGAGAAAGCTGTTACTTATATAACTTCCTGTAATTGCCTGGCAGTAGCTGCAGCTGAGGACAGCCGCTCTCTCTCGGTCTCTGCTGAGCGGAGGCTACATGGCCCTTCCTCCTTGCAGTTGTTTCACCTTCTACCTTGCGCGGAGTCAGACTTTTGCACCGAATCTGAGATGCCATTTTAAACAGAAGACTCCATTCTCTTGAAGATGGGAAACTCTTACGCTGGACAGCTGAAGACGACGCGCTTTGAAGAGGTCTTGCACAATTCCATCGAGGCATCCCTGCGGTCCAACAGCCTGGTGCCCAGGCCCATCTTTTCCCAGCTGTACCTGGAAGCTGAGCAGCAGCTTGCCGCTCTAGAAGGTAGGAGATGCACATTGCTTTTATTTGTGTATTTCTTTTATTGTGCACAGTTAGTGTTAGCACCAGAACTTGAAACTGTTTTCTTTATGTAGAAGACGTTGAATCTAGCAGAAAAGAATTATTAGAAAAAGAAAATTGTGTACAAGTTCTTACTTTGGTGAAAATGTAAATAAGTTTCAGCCATAAAATTGCAAGAAATAAAATTATTCATTGAATCAGTAGGAGAAAGGAAGAGGACAACTTGTTCTCAATCGGTTGTTACTTATGCTCTTATTAGAAGGTTTGACATTTTCACTTGGAAAAGCAAGAAATTTTGACCCTCAGCAATATATTCCTTCTCTTTGTCCTGTGATTTGTGGCTATTATCTTTGCAAAGTAATAGTAGGTACGAGAACTCTTAGAAACTTTTAAAAACCAAAAGCAAACCCTTATAAATTTAATATATGCCAGGAATAAAGAACTAAATTCTCTTCAGGCATGGGGATGACTTTTTAGAGTTTATTTAATTATGCAGAGAACGAAATGATTGTTTTTTATAGCCATGTGTTTTCGTGTCAGAAGTAACCCCTCAGCGATCCATAGTATGAGATTGCTCTGTTATGGAAGTTCTTTTTGTAAGTTGATGTCTTTGAAGTTACCTGCAGACTTCTCTTAGCTATTGAAGTGAAAAAGGGGCTATGCTTTAAAACAAAAATTAATTAACTAGAATTAAAGAAGAAAGCACTCAGTGAGCCAGGTCTTGTGCTGGGGTGGTCTTGCTGTGCGTGAGTGTGTATGTGAAAGGGGATGGTTGGGTTGGAAAGAATTGCACCTAGAGAAAAACGAGGTGTGGAGGTCTTGTCTTCAAGGGGCCCCACACTGAGCTTGTGTGAGATCTGATAGTTCCTTATTCTAGCAGGGAGGCATTTTTGTGTCATTGTTTAAAACGTGGTTACTAAATTCGCCTTGCAAATGGCCCCTCTAAACCCCTGCAAGAACTGGATCTGGGTCTGAGAGAAACTAGACTGTGGTCAAAACCATGCATTAGGAAAACCAAGAATTCTCTGGCATTCATATCAAAAGCACCGACGTTTTCTGGCATGGGAGACGTGACTGATTTTATGGGGAGCTGAGGAATGGCTGGAGAGTATTTTATGGACTGTTTTTGGCCAGTTGAAAGACTTTGGTGGAATATGAATTACCTAGTCATCCTCTACCTCTATAGTATTGAAGAGCTTTGTGGCTAATGATGTGTTAGTAATAGTGATACTGATGGTAATGTTTATTTGAATGATACCTTAAAATCCACAAAGTGCTTTCACCTCACAAGCCGAAGTAATTGAATTCTGTGATTTGGGAGGATGGAAGGGTGGCTCACTGGAAGCTTGAGTGACTGAGCAGCAGTTGCACACTCAGCTTTGGCCAAGCTCTGAGATAAAAAGGGGACAGACAAGGGGTTGAGTAGACTCAGGGCTGCCCACAGTGGGAGAGAGGAGTAGAAAGCCCTTTGAGGATTCCAAATCAGCTTTCCCTCCTGTTGAAAGATCTTGATAGTTGCTTTCTGCCCACCTTTAACCGGGAGGCTGTGTCTGACATTCCGACAGCTCAGGGTGCCCTTATCTGCTGTTGGACATGTGGTACTGTGCAGGGACAGCACTGAGGCTTAAGTCTTCATTCCTCCGGTGCTGTGGTTGAAGGTTCCCTGCCAGCTGTCAGTCGGCTTGTCCAGCTCCACGTTGCTATGAAAACTGGACCAAGCCCTGTGATTTTCCCATTTGTCCAACACACAGAAGAGAGAAGTCCTCCGAGAGTTTGGTTTTCTAGTGCGGGAAAACAAGGGGGCTGAGGGGGCTGGTGGGAAGAGACAGATTCCTTTTGGTTTGCTAAATGTTACCCTAAACCAAGCACTCAGCTAGAGCCCCTGCTTCCTGCATAGTCAAACCTGGCGCAGACAGGCTTATCCAGGCCACATCTTGTGCCTGTTTGTCGGGGTTTCTTATCTCATTGCTGGCCTTCCTCAGACAATGACATTAAAGATGGTTTTTATGACCGGGGTGCTGGTATGCTGAACACCCCTTGATCTGTTAACATTTTATGTATTTGTGAGGGGGATTTAGCAGGAGTCTTATTACTTTGCTCTTTGAATTTGGGCTCTTAACCTACCACCTCCTATAGGGGAAAAACCCTTTATACATTCTTGATTTTTTTTTAAAGAAGAGAGATCAACAAAACAGACACCGTCCAGCATTTTGGGGTAGGTATTTATTCATTAAACAGGACATATAGGTAAAATCCTGTAGTCCCACCCACTTAGAATGCCATAGAGTTTGTGCTTATGGAAAGAAAACACAATTGCATGTCAACATTAAAAGCAGTAGCCTTGTATGGAATGGAGGGAAGTGGTGCTCCAGGGCCCCTGAGTTCCTGTGTTTTGTTATTAGGATTCTAAGCTCCCAATCCAGTTGGTTTTGTCTAATGCCATTTTAGAGCTCTCGTCCTGCCAGGAGACCTGGGTAAACACGTCTGGTTTAGTCTGCTTCCGGGCAGGAATGTCCCCTCGAGCTTGTTGCTAGCGGATCTTCCCATCACAGCCCCTGGAATATCTGACGTAGACCTTTGACCTTTAATCCTGCTTTCTTACTGACTGGATTTTGAGCTCTTTCTTTGACCTTTTGAGGCTTACGACCCTCTTCTTTCATGCCTTCTGAGAGTCTGAATTCCTGTTCTTAGCAGCTTAGCAGAATCACATGCACGCATTCCCGGGTGTGCCCTTTGCTGTGACGGTGCGGGCCTTGGGGGCTGCTGGTTTTAGTTTTCCTGGGATTGTGTCTCCCTTATTTCACTGATAGCTGGTGTCTGTGACATCCCCTCTGAGCCTCTATGGTGCTGGCTTAGAGGCCAGAGTCGATTTTGCAGACAGAGTCTTCTGTGTCCCCAACATGGAGACCTGTACTGCATTGCTGGAGCCTGGGGTCTGGGCATGACTCTTTACACCTTCTGCTAAAACCACGCCTGCTATTTTTAATGCCAGGAAGAAAGCATCCGAAGCAGGCTCAAGAGTGTATCTCCTTCCCCACCCCACCTCTGGGTAATCTCTTCACAGCCTTCCTACCTCCTCTGTGTCCTCTAAGCCCAGGAAGACTGAGAGATGAGGAATTATTGAGTCACTTCCTGCTGTGACCTTCCCAAAGTCATGGTTCCCACCTGCTGGAAACGTTCAGCTTCTTCTGCCTCTTGTCCCACAAGCCCGTTTGAAATGGTAGCCATTGTGAGGCTGTGTTTCCAGTATGCTCTACTGTTTAAACCACATCTGGAACATCCCGTGCAGCTCTGAGGGCCGTGGTGTTTTTCCACGTAGACCATCACAACTCCAGGTGACCTTAAGGTTTGTCTGGATTAACCACCTCATTTTAAAGAGGCAGGATCAGATGCACAGAAAGGTTAAGTAACTTTCCTGCGTCCACATAGGCAGTGGCCCAGGCTAGTACAGAAACCTGAGTTCCCTGATTTCCAGTCCAGTCTCTTTCTACTACACATGATTTGATTTCATCATTAACCCAGGTTGCTTAGCCCTCTGGATGGATGGATGGTGTTAGAGCCAAGGTAAGTGAGGGTTTGAGACATGACAGCAAATAAACCAATACTGGAGGAGAAGACAAAGAAATAAGAAGTGGGCCAGGCACCACCGCTTATAATCCCAGCACTTTGGGAGGCCGAGGCGGGTGGATCACCTGAGGTCAGGAGTTTGAGCCTAGCCTGACCAACATGGTGAAACTCATCTCTACTAAAAATACAAAAATTCGCTGGGCATAGTAGTAGGTGCCTGTAATTCCAGCTACTTGGGAGGCTGAGGCAGGAGAATTGCTTGAACCCAGGAGGCGGAGATTATAGTGAGCTGAGATCGCACCATTTCACTCCAGCATGGGCGATAAGAACAAAAGTCCGTCTCAAAAAAGAAAAAAAAAGAAATAAGCGAAGAGTGCCTGTATCCTAGCCCAGTGTGTTAAGGATGTTCATAATGACCCTGTTCCCTGAAGAACTCTGTATGCTATTTATTAAATGATATTTAAAGATAGAGAAGTTGAGAAAGATTTTTACCCCGAATGTCTAACTTACAAGAAGTTGGTAGGACTAAACTTCAACAGCCTGAGATCCTGCCTTCTCCAGCAGTACTTAGTGAATAAGGTACGATTCTGTGTACCCAGAGCCACTGGGCTGCCCAACACAGTCATACTTAGCTTCCTTGTGGGGTGCCTGGAATACAGGGAAGAGCAAGGACAGAGACCCTGCCTGCTGGAGCTGAGAGTTCATTTCCCTGTAGTGACAGAGTGCAGGCTCGGGGAGTGGCGGGATTTCCATGGCCAGCTCTAGGCTGTCCTGACCTGTTCAACAGTGACCATTCCTTCTGAAATATTATTTCCCTTAAAAAAAAGCTTCCTACATCACTTCTCAGCCTTTTGGTTAAGATCAAGTGTAGTATCTGTTCTTATCAGTTTAAAAAAAGCTTCTTACATCCCTATCGTACCTGACCCTGTTCTAGAATGGCTATTTGTATGTGTGTGTGTTTGTATATCTAGTAATGTTTACATGCATTCTTCCCTTGGGGATTTTTTTTTTTTTTTTTTTTTTTTTTTTGAGATGGAGTTTTTGAGATGGAGTTTTGGTCTTGTTGCCCAGGCTGGAGTGCAGGCTGGTGATTTTTGGTCTTGTTGCCCAGGCTGGAGTGCAGTGGCGTGATCTCGGCTCACTGCAACCTCCGCCTCCCAGGTACAAGCGATTCTCCTGCCTCAGCCTCCTGGGTAGCTGGGATTACAGGCACGCACCACCACGCCCAACTAATTTTTTGTATTTTCAATAGAGACAAGGTTTCATCATGTTGGCCAGGCTGGTTTCAAACTCCTGACCTTAGGTGATCCATCTGCCTCGGCCTCCCAAAGTGCCGGGATTACAGGCTTGAGCCACCGCGCCTGGCCTACAGCACCCGGTATTCCCAGGCAGTCTCCCATCCAAGTACTAACCAGGCCCGACCCTGCTTAGCTTCTGAGATCAGACAAGATCAGGTGCGTTCAGGGTGGTATGGCCATAGACAATATGCAGTTTGACAGCTCTCTTGTATTGTGTGAAGCTGTTCATACTACCTATATTTTGTCTCCCAAATGAAGCAGTGCAGGTTAGGGGCGAGAGCATCAGCTTTGGCATCACACATGGCTGGAAATACGCAGGCCAGGCTGCTTAGCACATAGTGGAGTAGCCGTGGGCCAGTTGCTGGATCTCTCTGAGCCTCCGTTTCCTTTTTTGTAAAATGGTCTTCCTATGATACTATGGTACCCTCTACACAAATATCTTTGGAATGCTACTATGTCCAGGCATTGTGCTCAGTCCTTGTCAGCCAATTCTTCACATATTAAACGTCTAGTGTATGTGCAGCTGTGGCAGATGGAAGAGAAGTGAACCTGAATTTGGAGTCATGAGGTCCAGGTCTGTGTGCAGTGTGACTTTGGGCGAGTCATCCAACCTGAGCAAGCCTCAGCTTTTTCCTCTAGTAAAGAAGGTTGATAAAACCCGACTGACAGAGTGTTTGTAAGGACAAGTTAATTCCGAACTAGCTAGACTTGCTGAGTGCTTGTTAAGGATGGGTAGAACCCATTCTGGATTAGTCCTGTAGGTCCTGGGCTTGTTAAGCCTGAGAATCCAGGCAGAGGAAAGGCCCCGGGGGAAGCTCTGAGGCCGGACAGCAGCTGCCTTGCTCATCACTCTTCTTCCCCCATCTAGGTGGTAGCCGAGTGGACAATGAGGAAGAGGAAGAAGAGGGAGAAGGAGGGCTGGAAACAAACAGCCCCCCAAACCCTTTCCAGCTGCACCCTCCGCCTGAAGGATGCTGCACCACAGATGGTGAGCCTCTGCCAGTCCCTGGCCAGGCAGTGCCTGCTATGCTGCCTGGAGGCAGTGGCCAGGCCGGTAACTGAGCCTGTGACTGTGTGCTGCAGGGGTCCTCTTTGGTCTTCCTCTTTGCTTTCCCTGAGGTGTGAGCCATGCCTGTGGGCCCCCAGCAGGTGCTGGCCCGGCCTGCCCTCCTGAAGCGGGAGCTCCAGAGACACCATGCTGGGATGCTAAGGCAGGCCTTAGCATCTGCTCTTTGGACAGCCTCAACTTGACCAGTGGCTTGGGAGCCAGACATTCATTTTTCTGTGTTGGTTGCTTGGAACCTAGAGTACATCATTTTCCCTACTCAGGCCTGTTTGCCCAGCATATTGAACTCAGAAGTGATTAGGAGGAATAATCAATCTTTCTCTCTCTCTCTCTCTCTCTCTCTTTTCTTTTCTTTCATCTTTGACAGAATCTTACTCTATTGCCCAGGCTGGAATGCAGTGGTGCAATCTCAGATCACTGCAACCTCCGCCTCCTGGCTTCAAGCAATTCTCCTGCCTCAGCCTCCCGAGTAGCTGGGATTATAGGCACATACCACCATGCCTGGCTAATTTTTGTATTTTTAGTAGAGATGGGGTTTCACCATGTTGACCAGGCTAGTCTCAAACTCCTGACCTCAGGTGATCCAACTGCCTCAGCCTCCCAAAGTGCTGGGGTTACAGGCATGAGCCACCGTGCTTGGCTGGAATAATCTTTCATACCCATCAGTATGTCAGTGTTGAACAGGCAGATACACATAATCTCAGGGACCCTGTTCAGTCAGGAATGGTACAGTTTCACTGTTGAGGAACAGAGGCCTGGAGACGCTGGGCGGGTGGCAGCTTAGCCCTGTGCTAAGAGCTTGTGCTGTGCACTCAGAGAGGCGTGGGGCAGACCCCTGACTCTGACACCCATGCGCCACACAACCTCTTTGCTAATGAGTTCATCTGTCCTGACACCATGCCAAGCGGGGAGGCCAGTTAGCGGCGAGAACATCACTTTGGGCATCAGACACAACTGGGACATGCAGGCCATGCTGCTTAGCAGATAGTTGAATAGCTGCGTTCCAATCACTGCATCTCTCTGAGCCTCTGCTTCCTTATTTGTAAAAGGGTTTACACAGGACACTGTGGTACCCCATACAAATATTTTTGGAATGCCTACAATGTCCAGGCATTGTGCTCAGTCCTTAGTTATTTAAGATAACTAACTGGTTATTATTAAATTAAGCAGTAATTGAAGTAATTATTAAACTCTTTGCTCTGGATATATGGAGATAAATGGGATGAGAGATCCCTGTTTGATGGGAGCTATACAGGGAAGTGGACACTTTGCACGCAGTTGGGAGCAAGCAGGGGTGCATGGAGCAGAGGAGGGGCTCTAACGCAGGTAGAGAGTTTTGGGAAGGCTTCCTGGAGGAGGTGGCCCTTTGGGTTTTGGAGGATTAGTGCGAGTCAGCCAGGAGACTGTGGAGGGCTTGGAGGAAGCTGGGAAGTTCCAGACAGAGGGAACAGCATGTGCAAAGGCTTAGTCGGGTGAAATTACAGCTCATTTGGGGGAACTGCTAACAGATTATTTACGTAGGGGCCTGAGGTGTGGCAGAGCCAGGCTTGGAAGAGTGACGAGACTTGGTGTGAAGGCACCATGTGTTCTGCCTTGGGGTCTGGACTTGACTCTGAGCATGATGACTGGGAGGGGAGGGACTCGGCCCTTGCTGGGCTGCTCTTCCAGGCAAGGGGAAGGCAATATGGTGGCTCTTAGTGAGGTAGGACTTCTAGTGTCTAAGTATTTAAAAGGCCACTGAATTAAATGGTAAGAGGTAAACTCTTCAGCCAGGCATGGTGGCGCAAGTAGTCAAGTCCCAGCTACCGGGAGGCTGAGGCAGGAGGATTGCTTGAGCCCAGACTTTGAGGCCAGCCTGGGCAACATAGCAAGACCCTATCTCTTAAAAAAAAAACATTAAGAGGTAAACTCTCCAATGGTCATTATATTTTCACATAATTTCCAAATAAATACAGTAAACACGGTGACTACTCATAGCCTACATCCCTCTAGCTCTTCAGAAAGCATGGACCACACCAGGCTGGGAGGGACCTAGGTTGGAGAGTTAGGGAACCTCTGGGGATTGACGTTGACCTCAGGGAATTGACCTCCCTTCCCCAAGCCAATGCAAGGAACTGCCCTGTGTTAGTCCATTTTCACACTGCTGATAAAGACATACCCAAGATTGGGCAATTTTCAAAAGGAAGTGGTTTCTTAGACCTACAGTTCCACGTGGCTGGGGGGGCCTCACAATCATGGTGGAAGGTGAAAGGCACATCACATGGCAGCAGACAAGACAAGAGAGCTTGTGTGGGGAAACTCGTCACTATCACGAGAATAGCGTGGGAAAGGCCCACCCCCATGATTCGATTACCTCCCACCGAATCCCTCCTACAATATGTGGGAATTGTGGGAGTTACAGTTTAAGATGAGATAGGGGTGGGGGCGTAGCCAGACTATATCGTGCTCCAAACCTAGGAGTCAGCTTGGCCTCCCTTCCTGGTCCCCCTCTCTGTAGCTTGCAGCAAATCACCCAACCTCTCTGAGCCTCAGTTTCCCTATCTTCAAAATGGGAACAGCCACACTTTGCTGCAGGTGATGAGATGAGAGCTTTGCAGAGCCTGCCTCACCAGTGCCTGGCATGGGGTGGTCCTGGCCCCACGCCTGCCAGCGTCTCCCTCACAGGTGTTGCTTTCTCCTGCCCCCACCTAGTGGTACATGGGAAACCACGGAGCAAATGCTCGGTGAGTGGGGAAGCCCTGCACGCAGGAGCAAAGTCTTCATGACGTCCTGTAGCGCCCTGCTGGGAAGGCCTTGGCTCATTGGGGCTCCCAGAGAGGTCTCAGTCGGGAGCTAAAGCTACAGGGAGCACAGGAGATGGAGCTGGGTGTGCCCTTACCTGGGACAAGACCCTGGAAAAGGCTTATCCAAATTAATCTCAGCTGGCTCTCTCTTTTACCTTTTCCCCCAAATATTTGTAGAGATGTATTATTTGAATAGGAAATTTACAAACTCTAAAACGCAAAAGGTTCCGAAGGGCATGGAATGAGAACCTCTGTGCTCTCGGCCCGCTCTGTGCCTGTGTCCTGGCCACGAGTCCTCCCCACCGCCCCCTAGAGGAAACCGATGCTATCAGATTCTCAACCTTCGTTTTTCATGATGGCCTCTTTCTCAGCCCCAAAAAATGCAGCATGTAAGAAACATCAGAGGACCCTTAGTTTCTTAAGGATTTATCTTGTATATGTTTCCATTTGCCGTCATGTGTTTAAAATTTCTTCCTGTTAAGCTTCATTTGCACATTAATGTGCATTACATGGTGGCACCAATAGACAAATAATGTGTGATCTGTGTTGTGGATAACTATGATTTCATATATATATACACACACACACACACACATATATATAATTTTGAGATGGAGTCTCACTTTGTCACTTAGGCTGGAGTGCAGGGGCACAATCTTGGCTCACTGCAACCTCCGCCTTCTGGGTTCAAATGATTCTCCTGCCTCAGCCTCACGAGTAGCTGGGATTGCAGGTGCGTGCCACCACGCCTGGCTAATTTTTGTATTTTTAGTAGATGGGGGTTTCACCACATTGGCCAGGCTGGTCTTGAACTCCTGACCTCAAGTGATCCTCCTGCCTTGGCTTCCCAAAGTGCTGGGATTACAGGCGTGAGCTACCATGTCCGGCCAACTAAGATTATAGTTTTATCTCTCAGGATTAATTTTGAGGTCAAGCACACCCAGAGATAAGGGTTTCTCCTGAGCAGACCCAGAGCATTTCCTCCCTTTGCCCCTGTGACCCCGCTTCTGGGAAGCCCTGGGCAGCGTGTGAGGCCTGTCCACCCCCCTAGGGTTCTGCCAGGCCGGGAAGGACCTGCGCCTCGTCTCCATTTCCAACGAGCCCATTGACGTCCCTGCGGGCTTTCTCCTCGTCGGGGCCAAGTCTCCCAGCCTACCGGACCATCTCCTGGTGTGTGCCGTTGACAAGAGGTTCTTGCCGGATGACAATGGCCACAATGCTCTTCTTGGTAAGTTCTGCTTTGTCCTCCTCTGTGGCTCTTTCTGCACTGGGGTAGAGCAAGGTCAAGGGCGGTCACAGCGGGGAGTGGTGGCAACCGAGGGACCATCTTTGGGACCCCAGGTGCAGCATGCAGCCGTGTTTATGTTTTTTGGTAGAAGAGTTCTTTGTGGAATGGAATGCAAATGAGATGCATTTACAGTATGACTGCATCCCTGCAGAAAGCTCACCTTTTAGCATTCGTTTTTCATACATTTATTCTTCAGACCTCCCTAAGTGCCCGCTTGTGTCAGGAATGGGTGACAAACCCTGTCCTAGACAGTCTCGGAAACAGCCTACAGAGGCAGAGGAGAATGAGGCGGAGTGTGTTGCTGCCTCCAGAATGTTCTGTCCTGAAGGACTGCCAGGCACCCTGTATCTGTTTTCCCCTTTGGTTTATCACTCATCTCTCAAGACATGGTCTGTTTGCTTGTTTGCTTGTTTGTTTGTTTATTTATTTTGAGATGGAATCTCTCTCTGTTGCCCAGGCTGGAGTGCACTGGCACTATCTCAGTTCACTGCAACCCCCACCTCCTGGGTTCAAGTAATTCTCATGCCGCCACCACCCAAATAGCTGGGATTACAGGAGTGCGCCACCACACCTGGCTAATTTTTGTATTTTTAGTAGAGATGGGATTTCCTCATGTTGTCCAGGCTGGTCTCGAACTCCTGGCCTCAAGTGGTCTGCCCACCTTGGCCTCCCAAAGTGCTGGGATTACAAGCATGAGCCACCACGCCCAGCCAAGAGGTGGTCTTTATTATCCCAGTTTTATAGGTGGGCTTGTATCTGTTAACTTGCCCAAGGTCGCATGAGTAAAGGGGACAGAGCCAGGATTCAAACTCAAGTCTTCCTGGCTCCAGATTCTACCTGGTGCCATCCCACAGTCAAGGTCAACATGGGGTCAAGATGGGGGAGCCGCCGCTTTCCCTTCCAGCCCTGGGCACCGCTAGCCTTTGATCTTTCCAACAACCGCTGGCCCACTAAGGCTCTGAGTGCAGAGCTGGGGCCAGGCCTTGCCAAGCCTGGCTGCCTTTGCTCATATGATGTAATTGAGTTCTTACTGTGTGCCAGGCCATCACTCAGCAGGCTCCCCCATTGTGGAGTAAAATCTAGGGACACCAAGGTGTGGACCAAGAGCCCAGGGATCTGGGTTCGTGTCCTGCACCTGCTCACAGGTCCCTGTGTGGCCCCCTGGGCTTCTGTGTCCTCATCCATGAAGCGGGGAGGTGACTTCCACATGTGCCCTGGCCCTTTGGCTGTTCTCATCCTGTGACTGTGGCTCCGGCCCCCTCCATCTGGCCTGGCATCTTCTTTGGAGGCAATCTGGGCGGGAGGCAGGATTGGTAATGATCCACTTCAGATGTAGCCTCAGGAACAGTCTTCATGCAGAGCAAGTTTGATTGTGAGAATTTGTGGGAAAAACTTCTAGATTGAAAACCCCCACAATTTCTTACATATTTTCCATGGGTATAGACGTTGAAGCCTCCAGTTTTGCACTTGATACGGCCCCAAAAGCTGGGAGGATAAACTCACTCTATGGGTAGTTATTGAGCACACTTCACATCTGAGGAGCTGTGCAAAGGATGAAGATGGAGAAGGGAGAAGAAATGAGATGGCTCCTGCCACAAAGGCGCTGGGGACACACACGTGTGTGAACTCGGACACAAGGCAGGTGAATGCTCGCTGGAGGGACAACACCACTAGACAGTGACGAAGGGGAGAAAACATTTTGGCCAACTCTCTTGAGGCAGGCTCATGGACTCACTGTAACTAGTTCTCTAAAACAGAATCATCCCAGAAAACCCACTCTAGCAAAGAAGCTGATGGAATCATTCAATGACAGACTGAACGCTTACGACAGTCGCCCAGGATGGAAGAGAGTCCGGGAGGCCGTGCCTGGTGGCCGCCTTAGCGTTTGATCTGGCAGTGGCCGGGGATTCGTCTGGATTCCACCACTTTGTGACTGTAAAGGAATTGCCAGGGCAGTAAATCAAGGAGGCTCTGCCTCTTGGCCTGCAGAGACGAGGATCTTTCAGTTCCTTCACCACCAGCTCAGTAACAGAGCCAGCTCATCGAGGAGAGGAAGTAGGAGCTTTGTTAATTGCTTGCCAAAAGCCATCTGAAATGGGTGACAAGGCCTAGTTGGTAATAGCCATTGCTTTCTTCTTTTAATAAAATAACTTTATGCTCTCAGCTTGCATACTTAACACTGTTTAGGTTTCCTGCAATTAAGTTTGATGGCTACACGGGACAAGGTGGCGCCCTCTAGCCCCGCAGCGACAGAGCTCAGTGCTTTTTAGTGATCTATAAAATACAGGCTGGGGAATACCTTGGAGGAAGCAGCAGTATTAGGAGACTTGTTTTAGTGACTTTTAATCAACTCAGGTATTTTATCTGAAAAAGCTGAAAGATTAAAATCTAGGTGTTTGTTTCAGTTTATTGCCCGGTAATTTATCTAAATGAGTTGACAGCTCAGACATAAAGAAGGAAAACATATCTCGCTAGATTGTTTTTTTCTTAGATGGGAGTAAATGAGTCCTTTGTTCATTCAGCAGGCAAAGAATTCAGCATGCATTTACTGAGTATATAACCTGAAATGAAAGCCTGGACCTTCAGTTACGTCTGGGGGCAGGATGGGGGGATGCAGGCACACCAAGAATCAGCCTAGAAATCCACAACAAACGACTCTGTCAATAAATCTTACAATACATCCTTGTGTGACATGGTCTACAGAGAGGGTAGGGTGCTCCGGGAATCGGAGGGGCCCAGTGAGGATGGGAATGGGAGGATGTGGTATCTGAGTTGAGCCCTGAAAAATGAGTAGAATTTTGCCAATTGGAGAATAACAGCAACAGAAACCAAACACTAATAGCAGTTGGCACTTTTTGAGCATTTATCATGTGCCAGAAACTGCACGAAATAAGTTAAAATAGCCAATGTGGTGGGTCTGTTATTATCTAGACTTATATACAGACATGAAAGCACAGAGAGGCTAACTGACTTGCTCAGGGCCACCCTGCTGTTTGAACCCCGACGGTCTGGCCCTGATGCCCAGGTCCTGGAGGATGAAGGGTGTCTCAGCAGAGGGAACTCCCTGTGCATGACAGCATGGCACACTGGAGAAGTGGCTGGAGTGCTCTGTGGCTGGAGCGGAGGCTGGTAGAGAGCATGGCAGGGCGGGGTGCCCAGCTGGGTTCTGCTTGGAAAAGGAGCTATTTTCAAACTACAGAAGCACAGAGTCTCATGGTATGAGGTGATCTAGCTGCCTTTAACGGTTACCAACGCATGGCCAATCTTGTTTCATTGATAATGTCCCCCTCTTCTCCCTTTCTGGGATTATTTTGAAACAAATCCCAGACATTGTATCATTTCATCTGTAAATATTTCCACACGGCATTATCTCTAAAAGATATTGGGGCCAGGTGCGGTGGCTCACGCCTGTAGTCCCAGCAGTTTGGGAGGCCGAGGGGGTGGATCACCTGAGGCCAGGAGTTCAAGACCAGCCTGGCCAACATGGTGAAACCCCGTCTCTACTAAAAATACAAAAATTAGTCGGGCGTGATGGCAGGCACCTGTAATCCCAGCTACTTGGGAGGCTGAGACAGGAAAATCACTTGAACCTGGGAAGCGGAGGTTGCAGAGATCAAGCCATTGCACTCCAGTCTAGGCAACAAGAGTGAAACTCCATTTAAAAACAAAACAAAACAAAACAAAACAAAGCAAAACAAAAAAACAGCTTTTCATTAGAAACCCAATACCATTATCATATCTAAAAGATTTAACAGTTATTTAATATTATCAAATATTCAGTGTGTTCAAATTGTATCTTACAGTTTTTTTTAAAGCAATTGGTGCATTTATATCAAGATCCAGACAGGGGTCTTCTAAAGTATTTGGTTGCTGTGTCTCAAATTTTTCTTAATGTGTAAGTCCTTCCTCCCTCGTTTTACCCTTATAATTGATATTTTTAAGGATATTTAGAGTGTTAGATGTTAAATTTAGATGACTGTGTTTTAATTTGTGTTTTAAGAAGATCACTTAGAAGTCAGACACACAACTGATTTTTATGCAAAGGGAGAAACTGAAGCAGAAGAACTAGTTATGAACTTACTGCAGGATTCTAGAGGAGTACGATGGCCTGAGAGTTTTATGTTTCAAACCTCACAACATCATACTATTTACCACCCCTGAGTGCTTCATCTTCCCCGGGAACACCTGGGACCCCTGCCCCACTTCCTGTCTCACCTGGAATCCTGGTACGGCTCCTTAGGCTTCCCCAGCACAAGGAGGCCATTTCTACACTTGAGCTGGAATTTGGCCAAAATACCAAGGCAGGGCCTCTGGGCATATATATATATAAAATACCTTGTTTTACGTTGCCCATGGGCTTTTCCTTTCTCCATCCAGGTGGGGATTTAAAATAATATTTCCCAGATTCTGTTTTTTCTTTTTTCAATTAATATGGCACAATGAGCCAAAGATGATCTTATTTTTGTCCCAAGTAACTGTTTATTTTCAGGCACGGGGAGGGTGGTCATTAGTTGCTAGGTGTAGTGTGTGCTCGTCTGAGCTCGTGGGCTTTCAAGGCTCATTATTTGGAAGGAACAGAGAGTTGCTGTTCAGGCCCAATTTAAATCCCACTTGCCAGGATGTCTTCCTGGAATTGCCTTCCTAAATTACTCCTGCTGTTTCCCCATTCTTCCCCGTAGCACACTGTGCTGGAACAGCCAGTTCCATCTTGGCAGAGAAGTACTTCCTGCCTTGGGGCTACAGGTTTGCCATCTATAAAGGGGATAAAGATGTACGCGGTACCTCACTGCGGTTTTGAGGATAACTCAGCTCTTTATATGATGATCTTTATAAACTCGAAAATGCTGCCCGAATTTGAGGAACTGCTGTCGTTGCTACCGGTCCTTCTGCCTCAATCGTGGAATTATTTAACTGTGTCTGTTCCTTCTTCCTAACAGGGACCATTTCTTTTTTTAACCAAAAACATTACCCAATTATGAACCATGCATTTTTAATGTATGTCTTGCCCAGAGCACCTTGTTTGTTTCCTATCAGATTTTCTTTCTAAACATATTTGTGCATAAAAGTATCCGTCAGATTTGCATTTTTTCATGGAGGGTTGATGACTAGGGCCTAGTGGCCCTCTGCACAGGGACAGTGGTCTAGAGTAAGGCCCTTCTGAGCATCCACTCTCCTGGGAAGGTGCTGGATGGAGGCATCAGGCGTGGGGGACATGTTTGTGGCTCCCAGCTCTGGTGCAATGGCTATCAGCGAGATCTCCTTTGGACTGTGGTTCTAGAAGAAAGGTCAGGTACAGGTGAACTTCTAGAGGCATCCCTGAGGTTTTGTGGGAGGACCCCTCTGCAGAGGGAGTGGCCCCAGCAGTAAATCTGGGCCATCTCCAGCCTGCCATGAGCCAAGTGCTCAGAGACCCCTGGGTCTGAAGGAAGCCACCTATGGATGCTTCCAAGAAGAATCATGTCACTTTAGTCCTAGAAGGAGTCATAGGGCCCATTTAGTCATAGCCTTCCCTTTGATGGTTGGAACATGGAAATGCAGAGAAATGGAGGTGCTTCCTCCACATCTCACACTGTTGGAGGGGTGGGGGCTGTCTATTTGCTCCCCTAGGGCCGCTAGTGAGTGTCATGACCCCTACTGTGCTCGCCTTCCTAATACAGCTTAGGCCAGGGTAGAGAAAGGAGGGCTGCTTGCAGAGTGCCCCTGACATGTTAGACATCTCGTAGGTACTTCACCCCCATAGTGCTCCTACAAGGTGGGTTTTTGGGAGGAGATGCGTTCAAGTCCTAACTCCAGCACTTTCTACCCTGTAGCCGTGGCTGGGTCACCCTGTACCATGGATGGGTCTCTGTCTCTCCCTCTGCCTTGATACTTTCATCTGTAAACTGGGACACTGCTGCCAATTGCTTTGTCAGGCTTCCTGAGGTTTAAATGAGAACATTTATAACGTGCTTGACACAGTGCCTGGCCCATGACAGGTGCACTACGAAGTTGCTATTGTCGCCTTGTTGACAGATGAGGAAAGCAAAACTCGGAGGTGTTAGTTACCTGCCTCACATCACCTAACTATAGTTAGGATTTGAACCCAGGCCCCTCAGACATCCAGGCTTATACACACTCCCTTGCAGGGGTTGGGGGAGTGGATGTAGCTGTCCTCTCAGCAGAAGGGGAGAGGCTTGCTCAGCGGCCAGCACACATATCCGCCCAGGATGTGCTTGTTAAACAAATGCTACCTGTAGCTGCTAAACTAGACACAAGGGAAAATCACAGGGTGTGGCTGTGCGTGGTGACAAGAATCGTGTTTATGATGGACTGTTTCCCATGGTGAGGACACTGAAGGAAGAATTTCGATTCTGGATATCCACACCCGGCAGGAATTTGAGATTTCAGGCAGGATCCCATGCTTTCTAAGCCTATCATATAAGGAAAACTTTCCAGATTTCCAAGTCCTAAGGTAGATTTCTGAAGAGAACAGTTCATTATTTTCCTCCTTCTCCTGTGGTTTTCTTGGTTGGCCTCTGTGGCTCTCTCTCCAAGACACCTCACAGAAGAGCAGCTGGGTCTCCTGACCAGAAAGTTTTTGCCAAAGCAGAAAAGCAGTTTGCTTGCTGAGTCCCTAAATGTTTCCTGTACTAGCAAGACCCAGGGTGTCCACCCTCATTTCTGAATCACAAAGAGCTCCCTATTGTCTGTGCTTCCCATCCCATCGGAGGAGATGGAGACGGCCTCTGCAGCACAGCCATGGTCCCCAGCCTGTGTTTCTTATGGGACAGAGGCCTGTAACCTGCTTAGCTGCCTCTGGAGAGGGATGACAGCCTGGCCTTGGCAAGTTGCTCTTAGCGTCTTGCAGTTCTGTTTCCTGTTCATCCAGCTTTTAAACAACAGGCTTAGAAGCCCTTCCAGGGAGCTCTGAATGTTTCTTCGGGCCTTGTTTTTAGGCAGCTGTTGAGCCGGGTTTATCTCAAGCGTCCCTAAGTTGAGGCCAATGAATAAAGACATGAGGTTATTCCTTCAGAGTGCTTACAGAAACCCTGACAGGCTGCTGTTCACAGTTACCCTGTTTCGTCTCTCTTTTCTTCCCTCTTGATTTTAACTGGCTGCCTGCCATGTGTGGGGCATTAGTCAGTACCTGTACACTTGCACACACACAGCTCACACGTGCAGTCATGCTGCGAGCGTAGAGGAATAATGATGGGAAAAAGACACAAATTTCAATCACTGGGATGTTCAGAGGCCCCTGAGCTACAGGAAGAGCCTGGAGTCCGGAGGAAAGTGCCAGCCAGCCTTTGGGTCACAGAAGGCTCTTGGGAGTAGGCACTGGAGCAGGATGTTGAGTGAGGGCTGGATGTGTACAGATGGGGCCCCGGAGGAGAGGATGAGCCTGTGCATGGAGGGCAGTGGGAGCGGGCTGGGTTGAGAGGCAGGGGAGTCCAGCTGGGAATTAGCATATCAGAGGAAGGACAGGAATAAAGCTGGAGATGAAGGCCAGGGGGCATCAGGGCAGCCTTGGATGCCAGGCCTGTGGGCAAGAACGTCATCCTCAGGCTGGAGTTGAATGCCACACCTTCCGTACCTATGGATTTGAACAACGGGCCTCTCTGGTTCTCTGATTTCACAAAGAAGGACTTGCCCTCCAGGTTGACTGGCTCCTGTGGCACTTGTGGATTGAGATGAATGGCAAGAATGGCCCTGGTTCCCTGTGCGTGTTAGTTCCCTGCCTGTCCCATGGAAAGCGAGCACATGGAGAGGACAGTGTTTCATGTCAGGACCTTACTGTTTGTGCTGGCACAGAGGGAATAGGACTGTGGAAGGTAAATTATCCTGTAACTGTCCTATGGTGAGGCCAAGAGATCTGTCCTTATTTCTAATGCCTTTTGAGGAAGACTAAATGCACTCAAAATAGATCAGGGAGTCCAGTCGGCCTCTGTAATATAGATGTCTTATTTATCTGTGGAGATGTTTTTAACCTTCACTAACTGGAGTTATTTTGAACGCTAGCCAGAGACCTTAGGGAGACTTTTAGAGCAGAGTTACACACAGAGCCGGGTGGCCCTCACAGCCTCAGGCACAATGACCTTTGTAGACTTATCAAATGGAGACTGTGACACATCAGTCTTAGCTTCAGGATCTCCGCAGCCGAAGGCCTTTGGACCTATAGAAACCAGACATACCGGTGGGTGAAGCAAGGCCATCTTATGATCGTTTAAATAAGAGCAGTCATCCGGGGCAGAAGCCAAGTCTTCACATTTCTCATCTTAACCAGCACTCCCGATGCCTATGGTTTGAATAGGCTTTACAGTGCGTGAAGGTCTTTTCAGGCACATGTCTCTGGATTTTAATAGCTCCCAGGAGGCGTTTTTGTCATTGCCGCCGCGTAGGAGGCTTGTTTAGAGCCTCACAGCTGAGGGGAGCCTTCGTCACCTCCCAGAAAATCAGTTGTAGGCCTGGTGCAGAGGCCAGCAGCAGCAACATAGTCACATTCTAGCAGAGCGTCTCCCTCCACTGGCTGCTAAGCCACGGAATTCACTCGCCAGCATGCCGGCCAGGCATTGCGGAGCTCTCCTGATTTCTTTTCAGAAACTCACAGGATCAAGTTGAGAGCAGGATGGAATTTTGGACTCTTAAGAGGTGTCCCAGTGTAGCCCATCTCACTAGTCACACTGCTTCGAGAGTGTAACTAACCCACCCCTCCGGAAATAAGAGCTGTTGCATCATTTCAGGCGCCCCGATCCGTGTACACAGTGGAATGGGATGGCTCTTGTCTTGCAAAGTTTGCTCTCTACGTAGATGTTTAAGTAGCCCCCAAGCACGTTAAATCTTCCACATTTGCCTGGGCCCATCTCTATCACTAAGTCTTCTTGGTCCTCTTTTATTTGAGTCGAGGCCATCTTAACCTCTGGGCTAGTCTAAGAGGGTGGGGTGCTTGCCTTGTGGAGTTCTCTGGCTGGTGGTACAGGAAGTGGATCTTCAGAGTTTGGATGAACTCTGTCTTATTTGAAAAGGACCGGCCTGGCCAACATGGTGAAAGCCCATCTCTACTAAAAACTGCAAAAAAAAATTAGCTAGGCATGGTGGCAGGCACCTATAATCCCAGCTATTTGGGAGGCTGAGGCAGGAGAATCACTTGAATCTGGGAGGCGGAGGTTGCAGTGAACCGAGATTGTGCCATTGCACTCCAGCCTAGATGACAAGAACGAGACTTCATCTAAAAAAAAATAAAAATAAAAGAATAAAGATATTTACGGTTTACTTTCTTCTCCAGGTTTCTCTGGGAATTGTGTTGGCTGTGGAAAGAAGGGCTTCTGTTACTTCACGGAATTCTCCAACCATATAAATCTGAAACTGACCACTCAACCCAAGAAGCAGAAACACTTGAAGTATTACCTGGTCCGTAATGCACAAGGGACTCTCACCAAAGGACCTTTAATCTGTTGGAAAGGCTCAGGTGGGCAGGTTGGCTGTGGAGGGGGTGGGAGTGCTGGGCCCCGAAGTGGCCCGTGGTGCCTGTCGCTGTGATGCTGGGGAGAGGCCCCTGCATAGCAGCACACATCACAGGCAAAAGGCCAGGCCTATGAAATGGAAAATGCTCCCTTTCGTTACGGGCGTTAAGCTGGTTGACAGTGACAGTCTAATTGGATGGGATGTTTAAAAGTCGACAGAGGGCCAGTCGTGGTGGCTTATGCCTGTAATTGCAGCACTTTGGGAGGCTTAGGTGAGTAGATCACTTGAGGTCAGGAGTTCAAGACCAGCCTGGCCAACATGGTGAGACCCTGTCTCTACTGAAAATACAAAAGTTAGCCGGGCATGGTGGCGCCCACCTGTAATCCCAGCTACTTGGGAGGCTGAGGCAGGAGAATCACCTGAACCCAGGAGGTGGAGGTCGAAGTGAGCTGAGATGGTGCCACTGCACTCCAGCCTGGGCAGCAGAGCACGATATCATCTCAAAAAAAAAAAAAAAAAAAAAAAAAAAAGAAAGTTGACAGAGGGCCAGACTGTGCATTACCTCCTATGGCAAGTATTTGGGGCGCTGGTTCTCATCCTCCCAAATTGAGTAGTTCACCCAAGTGGTCCTCAACCATGGGTGACTTTCGTCCCCTAGGGAACGTTTGGCCATAACTCGAGATAAGTTTGATTGTCATGACTGGATGGTGCCACCAGCATCTGGGGTAGGGACCAGGGTATGACTGAACATTCTGCAGCGCACAGGCCGGCCCCCAGCACAAAGAAGCCCACTGCAAATGTTACCAGCACCAAGGCTGAGAACCTGACTTAAGACAGCTCGGCTTGAACAATGCCCCACACAAGCCCCTGAACCCTGAGCTATGGCCAGAAAGATCAGCTTCATGTTGCTGGTCTCTGAAGAAGTGATTGGGCTGCAGCTTTCAGAAATGTTGGGAGCAGGCTGCCCTGCCACCCTCTTTGTCTCAGCTGTACCTTTCATGGCCACAGTCAGCTCTGTGGGGCGAGGAGGAGGCTGGATCCTCAGTGGCCTGCCACGGGTGGAGGGCAAGACTGGGGTGTGAGGTGTTCCTCCCTTGTCTGGGCTTGTTCCCATCTTGTCTTCTGGACTCTCCCGGGCAGATCCTGGGAGTAGAGGGAAGACGCCTTAGGCTGGGTGGCTCTGGGAACACCTCCCTCACACCCCATTCTTCCTTCCTCTCTGCTTTTCTTGCTTTGTTCAGTAAATGCCTCCTGAGCCCCTATTACTTGCCAGTCATTTCTTAGGCCCTGAGGATGCAGTGGTTGTGCCCCGTATGGGACCAGTTCACCGTCTTTGATCACCTGCTGAGTCCAAGCACCTCAGAGGTTCTCCACCTCACTGGCCGCTGGGGATGGCCTTTCCCAGAGGAGGAAATAAGGGTGAAGATGGTATCGTTTCTTTATCTTCAAGTAACACTCTCGTCTATGGCTACGGGTAGCTGTAGGGTGACTTATTTGTATAATTCGTCCCTTTCTTCTAAATATTCACGATTGCTCCCACTCTTGACAACCAGAGCTGCCCCTTGGCATGGAGCCACAAGTAGGAGTCACACCCTCGCCCTGGCTTCATGCTGAAACAAAGACCAGGATGTGGTGGCAGCTTGTGTGACTGTCTCCATAGCTCACTGTCCTATAGGACACGTTCCACTGCAGGAACTCATTTCGTAACTGTTAGAGAAGAGCGAGTTGGTTTTCACACGTGCACCTTGCCCCCTTAGAGTTTAGAAGCCGGCAGATCCCCACCAGTACTTGTTCTGGTTCCTTCTTCCCGGCCCTGGAGAGCACGGCTGCCTTCCCCAGCGAGCCCATTCCCGGGACGAACCCCAGCATCCTGATGGGAGCTCAGCAGGCAGGTGAGGTGGCAGAGACATGCCAGGGCTGCTGAATCCGCACCACTGGCATGTCTCTGATGGGTCCGGTTGACTATGTAGTCAAGCATTCTTCAAAATAAATCAAGGGGCTGTCATCTTTTTCTATAACACCTTTACTTTCATCTTGAATTTGTAATACTTTTCAACAAAGACTGCTAGGTGTTTCATTGGGAGGGCTTTTCTTTCTTCCTGTTTGATATGAAGTGGGATCCCCTGGTGGGGACATATGCAGGGTCCCTCTGCAGCACCGCCCCCCGCACAACCCCCGCACAGCATAGAGCTCTCTATGGAAAGGTGCTGAGTCAGGGTTTGAATGAATTGCTAGAAGGGGCGGAAAAGACCAGATTGCCGCCATTCACCCAGTGCGCAGCACTCCCCAGCTCTGTGAGTGCCTTGAAGCCCCACAACCATGCTGTGAGCAGGCCTCGGTTCCCGCATTTTACTGATTGGGAAGGTGAGGTTCATGGAGGCTGGGTGCTTGCCTAGGACCTCGTGGGCAGGAGGAGGTGGAGGCAAGAGGTGACATTAGATGTGAACCCTGATTCACATGCTTGGCATTTCACCATGTTGCACAGACTTCCTAAGCATGGTGATTGTTATCACAGTAGACACCAGCCTTCCCAAGGACGCAGGAAGGTCGCCGCTTGTTTTCATGCCTCCTGCCCAGTGGGTCTGTAGAGGCACATTGGCCCTGGGAGGAAGCCAGTGCCCTTGTACCCACCTGGCCCATCCATCGCCTGGGCAGAGGACTGGAACATACTCTCCTCCAGAGCTCCTTGCTGCTTCCCCATGCCCAGGCCCCCAGCGCCTCTACCATCATGGCCTGGAGAGCCTGCTGTTTCTGCTGTTGGGGTGCCTGGGTGTAAGCTCCAGTGCTGCCACCATTTAGTTGAGTGATTTGGGGCAACTCAAATCTTCTGACCCTCCATTTCCTCATCTGTAAAGTTGGGCAAATCTCTTCTATCTAATTTGTAGGGCAATTGTAAGAATTAAATAAGATGATAGTATCAGCAAGTACTCAAAGCATGTTACATGCCAGGCACCGTTCCAGGCACTTTCTTCTGCTAACTCATGTCGTTCTCACAGTGGCTCTGAGTTGCTATAGTGACCACCCCTGTTTTCTGGATGAGAACACTGAGGCATAGGGAGGTTAAGTAAGTGTCCAGGGTTACACAGCTGGGAGGTGGTGGAACTGGGCTCAAACCATGTCATCTGGCTTCAGAGCCACCCCCTTAAACCCACAGGAAACATTCAGTGCTACTCCTGACTCAAGCTCTTTCCAGACTGTTCTGACTGACATGGACAACTTAAGCAGTTCTGTCAGCCCCAGGAGACCAGAAGCCATGATTGTCCCCAGAATTACCCTTAGACCTGGGGAGCCCTGGGCCCTGTGAACAGCCTGCACCCAGGTAGCTGCAAACCCGACTGCTCTCCTGGACTTCAGATGTGTTAGTCCATTTTTATACTGCTGTGAAGACATACCCAAGACTGGGTAATTTATATAGAAAGTGGTTTAATGGACTCACAGTTCTGCATGGCAAAAGGCAAAGGAGAAGTAAAGGCACATCTTACATGGCAGCAGGCAAGACAGCATGCGTGGGGGAACTGCCCTTTATAAAATCATCAGATCTCGTGAGACTTCTTCACTGTCACGAGAACAATATGGGGAAACCACCCCCATGATTCAGTTATCTCCCCCCAGGTGCCTCCCACGACACATGGGGATTATGGGAGCTATAATTCAAAGTGGGATTTGGGTGGGGACACAGCCAAACCATATCAACCAGAGGTCTTGAGAGAGAAGGTGGAAGGAAGAAGAACAGTTTCAGGTGTGGTCCTGGAATTCAGGAAGTCCCCTGGTCCTTCTTTCACTCAGGCTGTGTGTCCATTGGGGTGTGAGCAGGAGGTTGCATGTTCCTGGGTGTGCATGTATATAGGCATGTGTTTGTGCATGTGTGTGTGTGTACATGTTTGTGCATGTGTATGCTTGTGTGTAGGCAGAAGTGTGTGTGTGTGTGTATGCATGTGTCTGCATGTATCTTCTCAGTGTAGCAGAATCACTGTTGGGAATTCTGACCTTCTGATGAGACTTGCTGGGGAAAAGCTAGTTTGTGAAACTGCAAGGAAAGTGATTTCCTCCTTGCCTGGCTCCCAGGGCATTCTCGTGAACTGACCCTCCTCTTTGCCTTCTATCTGCTTTCAGGACCAGCTTCTGATCACTCCTCACTAAGCGCAACAGTGGGTCCGGCTGTTTTCAACGGCAAAGATTCCCCAAAGTGCCAACAGCTGGCAAAGAATAACCTGTTGGCCTTGCCGCGACCATCGGCTTTAGGTAGCGCTGCCTGTCCTGGCTGTCCTGGGGATCCTGCTCTTCTCTGGGCCAAGGCCAGAGGGATCATGGGAACTGCTGGGCTGGGGCCGCTGAGCCTCCTGGAGTCTGGTGTGGCTTCCATGAGAGTCAGGCCAGGACCATGGGTGCCTCCTGAGTCCATGGGTCTGGGTCCAGGCACTGGTGCTGTGTGAGTGACACTTGGGAGTTGTCATGTGTGCCAAGGAGCAGTGAGACAGCTGTGGTGATGGCGAGTGACCTGTCCTGTGGGCTGCAGAGCTGCAGGATGGTAGAATTTTGGAGCAATAGTGGGCAATGTGTTGTTGGGAAAGAACATGGGCTTCCAAATCAGATGAATATGAATTCAAAACCTACTGCTATCTCTCGTTAGTCAGGGTACCTTGGCCAAGTCTCAATACATGTTTCTTCACCTGGAGATAAGAATTCTGCTCCAAGGGTTGTTCAGAGGGATGAGGTGCTGTATGAAAGGTCAGAGCACATCTGGCAGCTCACTAATTGGTTCTGGCTGTTCTCATCCAAATCAGCGTCATTGCTGAGGCTAGTCTTTTCAGGGAAGGCTTCTTGGAGGAGGTGATAACTGAACTGCAACTTAGAAGTTGGGGAAGCATCATGTAGAGACAGAAAGGGAGAAAGGAAGCAAAGAGGGATGAGGAGGTGAGGATATGGGTGAGAGAGGTGAGTGAAGGGGCCGAGCAGACCTCCTGCCAGAGGAGGGTTTGAGGAAGCTGTCAACAGGTGGAGCAACCTGGGGACCTGCTTGAGGACTCCCAGTCCAGTGCTCTCCCCACCATGCTCATCTGGAGCCACTTCATAAGCTATTCTCATCTTTCTTTCCTCCATCATGCACTCAGCTAAATTGGATTCGAAGATCTAAGACATCAAACTGGAGGAACCCTTAGAAACCATCTAGGCCAACACTGTTTTACAGAGGAGGAGACAGAGGTCCAGAGAGGCAGGGGCAGGCCTCTAAGCTCCCACTCCACTGTGTTGGTGGAGGACCTCCCTGGTGAAAATCTTGTGAATTGTCTAACTCTTGACCGAAGGGGCGAATGTAGTTTCTGAACAGAATCTGAGGCCTCCCGTTCCCAACCAGCGCCTCCATCCTGGAGTCTGAAATCCACAGCAGCCAAGTCCCAGGCAGTAGCGAGTCCCAGGCAGCCTCCTGCTTTCATCCAGGGACTGCTGCTTCTCTGCGAAGTGCTGCATTTGGGGGCAGCCCTGTGGCTGCAGAGCTGGACACCTGGGGATGAGGATACTGGGGATGCCACGCTGCTACAGCCTCCCTTCTGGGCTGTCTGTGGACCTCCCAGCCTCCACCCTGAACAGCAGGGAGATAAGGGCCTCCCTCAGCCTGGGACCCTGTGAAGGTGGCCCTGGGAAGCCTTCTGTGTGGGACTGACTGCATTTTCCTTGCTATGCTCGATAGAGGGGTGTGGGAGATGGAGCTCCTCCAAATTGCCTAGGGGAGCACTCAAACCTTTCCAGAATCTGGCCCCAGCCCACCTGCTGAACCTCATTCCCTGCTATTTTGGCTGCCCTGGGCAATTGAGCTCCCTCACCCCTGTGACCCCATCCTCCTGTCTCCATGCTCTGTGCCTGCATCCCGGCTCTGGGCTGCTCTCTCCGCTCACCCATTAAATCGCCTTTGTGAGCTTAGTTCAGGGGGCACCTGCTCCATGCAGGAGGGCTCCCTGTGAGTGCACGGGGCTCCCAGCCGTCCCAGGCTTAGTCCCGCAGCCACATGTGGCCATCAGGGCCTCGGTGCTGTGCAGTTCCCAAGGGCAGCACCATCGTAACGTGCATCTTGGAGCCCCTGGTACCAGCTGCTGGGGAGCCCAGCCAGAGGGCATGACGCTGGCTGAGTTGTGTTGAGCACAGCTGAAGTGTTGGAGTTCCTGGGCCTTCTCCTCTGCTCTGGGGCGAAAGCTCAAAATCAATTTTTAAGAAACTGCATCTAATACCACAAGGAGTTGACTGAAGCCTTGAGTCCTGTCACTCACTGGTTCCCAATGGAGAAGTGCTGCCCCCTGGGGGGCGGGGGTAGGAAATGTTCTGGTAAAGGATGGATTTGTTGTCCCAGGCACAGGGTCTTACTGGCATTTGATGCTGGGACAGAGCGGGCTGCATGCAGAATGTCCTGCACCAAGCAGGCTACATAATGAATCATCTCCCAAAAATGCCAAATAATACCTCCCCAAGAGACATTTTGAGAAATAATCGATCCACATTGGTACCATGGGAGCAGCTCCTGGTGACATCATTTGGAAAGAGCTCATGGGCTTAGGGTCTACTTAGAGCTATTTATAGGGTTATCGTCCAAAAGTGAGAACACATCTGTGTCTCTTCCATCCTTACTGAGATCCACTTCCAAGCCCTGTCCCCTTTGGTCGTTCAGTAGAGCTTTTAGAGCAGCTGGCTGCTTAGCCTCTGTGGGGGGTCTCCCATTGCAACTGGGGACAGATGTTTGCAGAGTCAAAGGCCTCATTCCTGCAAACAGGAGAAAACAGCAGCTGCGTCAGTGGTTGTTGGGAGGGCCAAAGGAGCCCACGTTTTTGAAAGTTCTTTGTAAACAAAGTACTTTATGCTTTTAACTTTTTATTTACTTTTAGTCAGTCTAATGAGGTGATCATATTTTTTTGATTACCCTTGAGAGACTCTAAAGCAATGATTCTCACTTAAGTGTGCTTAAGAATTACCAGGCTGGCCGGGTGTGGTGGCTCACAGCTATAATCCCAGCACTTTGGGAGGCTGAGCGGGCAGATCACCTGAGGTCAGGAGTTCGAGACCAGCCTGACCAACATGGTGAAACCCTGCCTCTACTAAAAAGACAAAAATTGGCCGGGTGTGGTGGTGCGCGCCTGTAATCCCAGCTACTTGGGAGACTGAGGCAGGAGAATCGCTTGAACTCAGGAAGCAGAGGTTACAGTGAGCCAAGATTGCACTACTATACTCCAACCTGGGCAACAAGAGTAAGACTCCGTCTCAAAAAAAAAAAAAAAAAAAAATCACCAGGCTGGCTTACAAAGGATGGTGTTTTCTTACTGTCATTTCCAGAGATGTGATTCTGGAGGTCAAGGTGGGGCCCAGGGACACACAGGTTTAGTAGGCACAGGTTTAAAAGGCCCGTGTGGGTTCTGTGCAGTGCCTCAGGTGACACCTGGAGAACCACTGCTCTGATTGGTGTTTCTCCACCGGGCTGTGCATTATAATCAAGAAGAAGCGCTGAGATATTGGGATGCCTGAGTCCTGCTCCAGTGCTGGGCTTCTGGTTTAACTGGGATAGGATTGCATCCAGACAGAGTTTTAAAAGTTTTCTGGTTGAGTTTAATGTACAGTTGAGGTTGAGACGTGAATCTCTACATGTAGGGGAAATTTTGTGTCTGGTTAGTCAAGAAACTATGGAAACCAGTTCTTGATATTTTGAAACATTCACGAAGTTAGCTTGAGTCATGAGCATGCTGTTGTCTAGAGTGGGCAGGGATGACTCACTGCAGTGGGTGTCAGCCTCTGTACTGGATTTTGTTGAGTCTGAAATTAGCTTTCCCGGCTGGGGCAGGGAGGGGAGCACAGGCGGATCAGTACTGCCCCCAAGCGGTGTAGCTGTGGTGGTGGATCAGATACTGCTACCCCCATCTGCAGAAACGTATTTCTCTCTTCCAGCCCTTCAGATTGGAATATGTCCATAACAATAATGATGGTGGTGAAGATGATGATGACGTGGGTAATTCTGGCTACCTTATTGGGCCCAGGCTCCCTGCAATTCATTGCAGAAAGCACTCTACATACATTCTCTTTAGTGCTGATCAAACCACCTTTCAGAGTAGGGTTTAGTGTCCCATTTTAAAGATGAAGGAGCTCGGGCTCAGAGAGAGATCGTTTAGACACACACACAACTTTGGAATGAAACATTTACAAAAACTGACATTTCCTTATGCCTAGATATTTCACTAGCTCCTTAAAACCCGTGTGAAACTGTGATTAGAAAAACAAAAAACAAAACAAAACAGATCATTGTTCTCCAAACCAAGGGAAAGTTTTATTGGAACCCTTTCCTGATGATAGCCTAATCCACACTCTGAATATTGTCTAGGTATCTTGTCAAACTCCGGGCCCCCCAAAAAACGCCACAAAGGATGGTCTCCAGAATCTCCATCAGCTCCAGACGGTGGCTACCCCCAAGGTGGTGGGAACAGAGCTAAGTATGGTAAGTGATGGCAGCCTTGCCCAGAATTCCAGACTTGGGTACTGGTGGTAGTGCTGCTGCCAGTTGTGTGTGTATGTGTGCGTGTGTGCGCATGCGTGTGTGTGAATGTGCATGTGTACTGCTGAGGGAGTTCTAAGGAAGCAGAGTTTGGTGTAACAAAAGACTTCTTTCTCACATGTTAGAATTGCTTTGCAAGGTCTAGGATCCCTGTATGATAGTGAGTTCTCTGATCCTTGGGAAATTTTAAAAGGGGCTGTTTATGACTTGGCAGGGATATCAAAGAGGAGAGCGAACCATTGGGGCAAGGATGGACGGAAGGAATTTAAAGGTGCCCTTGACCTTAGGAATCTGTGACTCTAAGACTTTGGTGCTCCTGTAATCAGGGACATGGATCAGGAGGTAGCAGCATTGCTGCCTGGCCTGATGCCAGGTGTGTGAGAAGTGGATGCCTTGTCTGATGTTTTTACTAATGTTCTTGGGTGTTCCTAGAGAGCACAGGCGTGTCCTGCGTGCCCCAAGTTGGCTTGGTGGGACCAGCTTCAGTCACCTTCCCAGTGGTGGCCTCTGGAGAACCAGTGTCTGTTCCTGACAACTTGCTGAAAATATGCAAGGCCAAGCCAGTGATATTTAAAGGCAAGTACAGCAGTGCACCAAGTCGTGGGAATGGAAGAACCTGAAGGAAGGCACGAGAACAGGCAAAAGCGAGACCTCATCCCGATCTGACTCCAAGGGTATCCTCCCGAGACAAACCTAAAGTGCTTTCCAGGGCAAGGAAAGAACAAGGCAGAGCCAGTCACTAGCTCAGCCCCTGATCAGATGCCAAGAGTGATGGAGCTTGTCACAGCTTTCCACAGTGGGTCCAGGTGAAATGATTCCCTGCCATGAAGGGAATTGCCTGTTCCTTGTTCTTTCCTTCATCTGCTCAGCTTCACCGAGCATCCACCATGGTCCCAGGCCCGGTGCTGAGTGCCGAGGATTAGGAAAAAACAAATGACTCCCTGGCTGCAGGAGCCCTGCTCTGGTGGGTTGTCGCCTGTTGTCACCCACGCCACTAGTATTTTTTGACTATGGAATCTACTTTGGTTGGGCAAAGATAGCCATGGTCACCACTGTAGAAGCATCAAACAAAATTAGATCTGATCCGTTTTGTGCAGTGGGCTAATGTATGCTACGTGGGGGTAGACTTTTGGCTCAACTGCAGAAATCCCTTTGACGAAGCTGGAGATGTTGCAAAGGGAAACCCTGGGGGGATTCAGCAGGGCTTGGCTGGTGATCGCAGGCACCAGAATAGCTGGCACATGGCAACACACACACACATACACACGTAGGCACGGCACACACACACCACACACACACACTGTGCACGCAGGCCCCTCTTAAATACGTTATTATTGCATTTGGTATCATGCTTGTAGATAGAGGAGGGAGGATTGTAGGAAAGTGGGAGAAGCACCCTGATAATTAAGAAATAAGAAAGAGCATGTCTTTTTCCTAAAAAACAAAAGCTGGACAGGGTATTCAGGAAGTAGCATGCAACTCTGAGTTTCGACCTTAGCGTGACATAAGACCAATGACCGAGGCAGTTCCACTGGGCCCCACTGTCTACCTCAAATGAAGGCCAACATTCTTTCAGTCATGTTGTCTGCATTTTTTTATGTGGCCATGATGTGTCTGTGGTAGGTCTCAAGAACACAGTGCTCAGGAAACAGAGCTAAGACAGGGTGCAAGGCTTGGAGGTGTAGGCAGGGCTTCACCTGCCTCTGCTTTGAGCCAGGAGCCTCAGAAAAGAAAGCCCAGCCAGTCTTCGTCTCACATGAACAATCTCAGAATAGAGACTGTCCTCTTGGTTCTCAGGTGTGCTCTGTTCCCTCCACTGCCTCTGTTTCCACTGCAGCCCTCACTGTAAAGCCCTTGTCTCTGACTCCTGTTCCCCACAGCCACATGTCCAGGCCCTCCTGAGGCCTTACGACTCAGCCCTGTGCCTTCTCCATGAAGTTGTCTTAGATTCCCTCTCCTCTGCCCCCCTTGTCACTTCTCTGTCCCTCTTTTACGTGCTTGCTTTTATAGTAACTCTTTACCTTGCCTCTTGCCAACCGCAATATTTGTAAGCGGTGCTACCCAAATGGTGGCCCCCGGTCCAGCAGAACCTGCATCGCCCCAGAGCTTATGAGAGGCGCGAATTCACGGACCCATCCTGGAATCAGAATCAGGCCCCAGTTCTGCATCAGAAGCTCTGGGTGGGCCAGCAGGTGTTTGGCAAGCCCTTGAGAAGCAATGTCTTTGAGAACACGACCTGTGCCCCAGGCACCAGCTTTACTCCCCAAGCCTGGCAGGACGTCTGCATATAGCACACAGCCGAAGTCAGAAAATATATTTTTGGTGACTGAATGGAGTACCTGGAGTGCAAGACACCACACACACACACAACCATACACACACACACACACAACCATACACACACACAACCATACACACACACACACACACATACAGGTGCCGCCTTTGAGAACTCAGCAGCCCTGAGAGGATTTGATAGCTTCACCTGATTTCACAAATGCAGAGACTGAGGTTTAGGGCAGTTCAGCTTCTTGCTTGACGTCATGTAGCTAAATAATAGTGGAAAGAGATTTGAACCTGGCCTGGGCGATTCCACCTCTGAGGGCTATCTTCAGAATGAATCTTCTAATGGGCTGGGCATGGTGGCTCACGCCTGTAATCCCAGAACTTTGAGAGGCCAAGGCGGGTGGATCACTTTAGGTCAGAAGTTCAAGACCAGCCTGGGCAACATGGTGAAACCTTGTCTCCACCGAAAATACAAAAATTGGCCGGGTGTGGTGATGCACACCTATAATCCCAGCTACTTGGCAGGTTGAGGTGGGAGGATCGCTTGAACTCCGGAGGCGGAGGTTGGAGTCAGCTGAGATCGTGCCACTGCACTCCAGCCAGGGGACAGAGCAAGAGACTGTCTCAAAAAAAAAAAAAAAAAAAAAAGAATGACTCAGTCTTCTGGTCTCTGTGGTGATGTATTATCCCAACTCACCTTGCCGCACAGCCCTGGGAGGGGGGATGCAGGGCACAGTCCTCCCTGCTTGGAGTCAGGGAGGCAAGGCCTGGCAGGCAGCACCCAGTGAAGCTCTGGAAGGTGCTCTGCCCACAAGGTGTCCCGTTGGTGGTGCTGGAGGAGTGACAGGTGGTGGCTGCTTGGCTCTGGGCAAGTCCCTCCCTTCAGCTCCCTCACTTGTAAAAAATAAGAGGTTTGGACGAAATGAACCAGTAAGTGACACAGCCCCATTGGTTAGGAAAGGTGACTCCTCTCATCGTAGGCTCCAGAAGGGTGAGCAGGTGCACTCAATGAGCAAGGCTTCCCAGGACAGGGCACTCGAGGGACCTGGCGCAGTTCACTTGTCTCCTTCAGCTCCCTCAGCCCCAGAGAACACACATGTGTGGGGCCATAAGTTGTGCACAAGACCGGGTGCCAAGTCGCTGCTGTTCCTCTGCAGGCCACGGGAACTTCCCTTACCTGTGTGGGAACTTGAATGACGTCGTGGTCAGCCCCCTCCTGTACACGTGCTACCAGAATTCCCAGTCTGTCTCGCGGGCATACGAGCAGTACGGCGCCTCTGCCATCCAGCCCATTTCTGAGGAGATGCAGCTCCTGCTGACTGTGTACTACCTGGTCCAGCTGGGTGAGTCACCTCCACCTATTGGCCGGGTGGCAGGGAGGGGCCACAGCCCAAGCACAGACCTGGCCTCGGCCCTTGTGGGGGCTGACTTGGGCTGCTGGAATTGACATACATGGGGAGAGCTTATGGCTCCACTGGGAGGACGTCATGAGGTCACTGTGGGCGTACCCACACTGAGGGGCCAAAAGTAGGTTGAAGTTAATGGAGACATTTCCAAAAGTATTTATCTGCCATTCTAGGCACAGGGATACAGCAGGGAATTGAACAAAGACCCTGCCCTTGAGGCGATTCTAGCCTAGTGGGAAAGAGAAGCAGTAAACCAGTGGAAAACGCAGATAAAGGTGGGCGCATGCCTTAGTGTGTGTCTGTGTGGGGCCAGTTTAGGGGCATGAAGAAAGGCCTCTGTGAGTAGAGACCTCGACCCTGAGAAGGAGTCAGCCTTGTGATGATCTGAGGAATGAGGACAGGTGGGGCCCTGAGGAGAGAGGGAGGCCAGGTGAGACCGTGAGGTGGGGAGCAGTGAGCGTCCCAGGTCACTGGAGAGGCTGGTGTAGCCGCAGCAGAGAGAGGGTGTGAGGGAGAGGTGTGGCCACAGGGGGCAGGCTCCGGTCAAGAGTGTGATGCTATGGTAGACACATGGAGAAGCCACCGGAGTGTTTTTAGGCAGGGGATGGAGGTGATCTGATTTTCACTTTAAAAACGCCACCTTGGCTGCTGTGTGGAGTCAGATGGTGCAGACGCAGTGGCGGAAACGGAGAAAGAGTCAGTTGTTGCCTATTAAAGGCACAGAGTGGCTTGGGCCACTGAGGGCAGCAGCAGTGAGCTGGAGGAGCTATTCTGAAGGTAAGTCCAGCTGGAAATCCCTTTGAAGGGGGTGGGAGCAGGTGGGGCCTGGGTTTCAGCCTGAGCAGCCAGGTGAATGGTAGCAATGAATTTGAGTTCTGTCTTGGCGTGAGTTTGTACAAGACGCCCACGAGACAGCCAAGTCACCTGTGTTCATTTGCATGGGCAGGCCTTGAGCCCCAGGAGAGGTTGAAGCTCTAGGTATACATTTAAGACACATTGGCTTACAGATGATGTATATTAAAGCCATGAGACCAGCTGCGGGTGGCTACGGGGAGAGGAAAGTGCCAAGGTTTGAGCCTGGGGACCTCCAATCTTCAGAGATCCAGAAGAGGTGACTGAGATAGAACGGGTGGGAAGGAAAGAAAGGACAGTGGAGAATCTGGGAAACCCAGCATTGCCCTCTTTCTCATAGTCCCCACCAGTCCGTCAGTAAGCACGGCTTCATCCTGAATCCAGCCTGGCTCACCCTCCCTGTGGCTGTCCCCTCACCGGGGCACTATTCTTGCCCTGTTCCCCACATCCCTGAGAACCGGGAATCCGATTGCATCTCTTCCCTGCTCAGAGCCCTGCCGTGGCTTCCCATCGGTCGCTCACTCCACCCCTTCCCCGGGGCCCGGCCTGCCTCCTGGTCCCACCTGCTTGCTCTGTCCCAGCCTGCTGTACCCCTCAGCAATCTTGGTCCCACCAAGGCATCCCACACTTGCTGTTCCTTCCCTGTGACATGCTCTTGCCAAAGACATTTGTGTGGCTTGCTCCCTCATGTCCTTCAGGTTTCAGGTCACCCATCCTCTCCTCAGGAAGGCCTTCTTGTTACTGTGTGTAAGACAGATCCCACCCTCCAGGCCCCTATCCTATGCCCTTTATCTTTAGGGTACCAGGAATTAGGGTCTGTGATTGTTCCCTTTAAGTGTGTCTCCCCCAGTTAGGGTGTAAGCTCCATGAGGCCAGGCATGGTCAGTGAGTCCTTTTCCCGATGCCCCACAGCATCTGCAGCTCAAGTCGACAGTCTGCCAACCTCCATTGAGGGAATAGGCGAATGTTGGTAAGAAGCAGTGAAAAAAAGCATTCCCAAGGAGAGGGGCTGATCAACTGTGCCAGCATGGCTGGGAGTTGAGCAGAGGGAAGACTGGACTCGGACCATTGGGTTTGGCCATGGGAAGCGATTGGCAACCTTGATGATGATGTATGCAAAGACTGGGGATAAGTCACATTGGAGTGGATTAGAGAGATTGGAGGTGAGGAGACAGTATGGCGTGTGTAGACAGCTCTGGGTAGGGTTTAGTTCTGGAAGAAGATGTGGACTCAAAGGAAAGTTTTTAAAGAGAGAGAGATAACAGCTAATCTAATTAAATTCTAATTTAATGAGCTAATTGAAGTAGTGAATTCTGATTAAATGTATCCAATCAAAGATGGAGATATAAGCCAATTTAATCATTCTGGCACGGCCCACAGAGCAGGTGGCATGAACCGCGTGTGATGCATCAGAAAACCGTATGAGATAGCTCAGGGCCGCACAGGTGGTGCTGGGTAGAGCTGGACTGGAACCACCTTCTAAATGGAAGCCTGGTGCGCTTTCCTCCAGCTCATCAAGTGTGAAATCTGGACGTATAAACCAGACAATTCATAAAAGAAAAAATACCAGAAGGAAACAAATATTGAAAAGTATTCAATCTCACTCATCATCAAAGACATGCGAATCACAAATCAAGTCATCTTTTTCTGAATTAATAACCCAAATGATGGTACCCAGTGGTGCTTAGGTGCAGTGGAACCAGTGTTTGTCAAATGCACCGTTCGCGCGGTAAACACATGCATTCAGGCCGTTTGGAAGCCAGCTGATGATATGTATTAGCTGGTTCTGTACATCCACCTTTGAGACTTTAGGCAAAGGAAGTAATGTTCTATACGTCAAGATGTGCATTGCAGAGGTATTTATAAAGGTAAATATTTGGAAGAAATAAGAGAATCCACAATAGAGACTTTGCTGAGTAAACGGTGGTGCTTACATATGATGGAACATTACGGACGCGCTAATAGCACTCTTTACGATGGCTGAAAATGGCACTGAAACTGATGATAGGGTCACGGTTACGGAAAAAATGCAAGACCCAAAGTTTATACGGACAATCATTACAGGTATTTGTAAGGACAATTTTAATATTAATTCCAGCAACACATGTTTTTATTCCCTGTCCTGGAGTACGAGAAAGCCTGTATTCCCAGGCTGAATGTTCTACACATTTACCACTGTATATGCACAAAGGGACAGTGTAACCTGTCTATACCACTGTACTTCCAGTCCTAACTTTCTGAATTCTTTTTAAAGACCTTCTCTAACAAGCTATGGGAATTTGGCTTCCTACTCTTTCTTTCTTTCTTTTTTTTTTTTTTTTTTGCAACAGCAGTGTTTTGGGTGATAATTTTGGGTTGGTACTTATTCTTTTTACTGGGTTTTTTTGGCTTTTTGAAAAATTGTCTTTCCTTATAGTTGGTGAGTGGCTTGGTAGCAAAGTAAGATTTTTGCTTTTGAAAAGAGGACAGAAAAATTGAACTGCAGCTTGAGAACATATTCCTTTATCCTACTTTGTCATTGAAAATTAAGGAATCACTTTTAACTGTTCTGGGTGTGTGTGGCCGAAGAGTGAGCAAGGACTATGTTTCTGGATTGTCAAAGAGAATGCTTAATCTTAAAAATAAAAATAAATGTACAAATCATCTTATAATTTAAAAAAAACTTGCATATGGAAAAAAAAAGACTAAGAAATACACATAAATAGCGTGACTCTGTTAGGGCAGTGGTGAGATTGTGGCGGATTTTATGCCCTCCCCTCGTGCTCCAGCCGTCTGTGATACGATTTCACAGCAATAACTTAAATGGGTACTTCCACATC